CTCTCCCTCTCCCTCTGCCCTAACCCCTGTTCTATCTCTCTCTCTAAAATAAATAAATAAATCTTAAGATTTTTTTTAATTTGTTGTAAAGCTGTAAGTCTGGCTGGTCCATAAACAATGCATATCAGATTTTGTCCTTAAGACACCTGAATTCTGGTCAGCTTGTCTCATTGTCCAGTAAGCTCAGAACTGGAAGAGTTCCATTGTTGTTCAAGAGTGTTGTTCAAGTGTTCAAGAACAAAATAACTGACTTTTGAACATCAGACCTTGCCTAGTAACAAGCCAGAAATGGGAGTAGGCCAAAGCCATTAAGAATGATTAGGATGAGATTATCCTGCACTTACAATATAAACATGTTGAAATAGACATCTGCATCTGTCAAAGAATTGCTTTACCACCAGGTTGCCAGAAGCACACACTCCTCTGTTTTTCTAATAATGTGTTTGTGCATTGTTAAATCATCTGTGACCCAAGCATCCTGAGGCATCCCATGAGCTTCTCTCAGTGGTCAGGTATGCCTCTAAAGTGAACCACCCATTTTACATGTAAGAAAAGTCGTTTCTTCAGGACAGCAAATCATTACACTGAAAATGATGCATATAACCTCTTAAGCTATTATAATTACCTCTTTGTCAAGATTCCATTAAGGTTTTCTAAAAGAAGCAAACAAAACCCCCAGCCACTTGCTCTTTGAGAAAAAGTCAGTTGTACATTTAAAAGTTAGTCACCAAAAAAATCTATGGCTACCATAGTGACAGCTTATGTATGAAAAAAAAAATCTAAACTAAAAAGTAAATCACACACACAAAAAAAGTGCTTTTTGTGCTGATGATAAAAAAGTATTTTGGGGAAAATCTGTTGTGAATTTGACCTCACTTTTCAACTATGAAGTGGAAGACCGATGGGACTTGTCTACAGAGATGAATCCCCTAGTTGATACTGAGTAGGGAAGAAAATGGGTGTCCTTATTGAGATGCTTGCCCAAGGAAGGAGCCAGAAACTAATGGCATTAGAGGCAGAGAAAGTGTGTAAATCAGCCAGTGGACGAGAACCGTGAGAGATGGGCCCCTTGGTGGGAATGACACAAAGGTGTTAGGCAGATACTAGCAAACTAACTTTTTTCACCCCTAGACCCTTCTTCAATGATCGCTGGCAGTTTAGAGAAACTGTCCCCCTGCCCAAAGTATACAAAATTCCTCTCTTCTGAATGAAGTTTAAAAATTTTTTTTCTGAAGAGAAGGACAGGGTTGCCTCTTTTTTATTCAGGCACAAAAGAATCGGACTCTTCTGTTAATCCTGGGTCGGCAAAGATGCCTCTTAGAGCTAAGTCAGTACCTGATGAGTCCTGTTCATGAATCACCTGGGAACGAAGACCCCTTGAATTCCAGGAAAAGGTGGTACCTATTAAGATACTGACTTGAATATATGCTTTTGCTCCCTCCCAAACCTCACCAAAATGGACAGAAAAAGGGATTTCCAAAAAGACACAAGCCCTGGAGGACCGAGAGAACGAGAGGTTTGACAACAGTAAGAAATGCAGAGGCTGTAGAGCAGGTGGGTGGATGCAGACCCCAAAGCTGCAGCCTCAGTGGCAGGAAAAGCTGGGCCCTGCTCCCTCTGCCCTGCACAACTCCCACATGATTTGGTAAGAGGCAGCTCTGGTGACAGGGAAAGCACGGCAAAGGTGGGGCTAAAAACAGGATTTGGGGGTGTGATGTTTCATTCTGTGCAGTGTTGGAGAGAATACTGCAGAAAGAGAGCCCTCACCTTCTCCTTCATTCCTGCTCCTCTGCAACCCAAGGCAGAGCCAGGAGGTGAGGAGGGAGCTGGGAGAGGTGACAGAAAACCCCAGGTTTGACCTGTGGAGGTTCCCATACTGTGGGATGCCAGGCACCGCTGAGGATGAGTCTGTAAGGAAACAGGACTTTAGGAATGCTGACACACCAGGCAGCCCTTGCACACTGGCGGTCAAGCTCATACCCTCCAGGAGAGAGACAAGATCCTTCCCGGGACAAGGAAAAATCCCCAGGATACTGATGAGTCAAGGTCCCATAAAATGGCTCTGCTGTGTCATCATAAGATAAAGCCTTATGTTGGCAAATATCCAAGCTTCTGGTCAGATTTTTAATCTCCCGTTTTCAAATATGAGCAGAATACAAAGATAGCCAGATATCTAACTAAGTAAAGTCTGAAATGTGAAATATACAGACAAAACCAGACAAATCAAAAAACACAAGAAAGTAACTTGAAAAGAGACAACAGTATTAATATCTCCAAAAGGATAAGATATGGCATAGCATTTAAGAAAAAAGAACAGAATCACTCACGAGTACACACACATGATTTTTAAGGAATAATTAGAGAACAAAAAGAGTCTTTGGAAATTAAGAAATGATAGCAGAAATTAAAAACTCAATAGATGCTTTTGGAAGTAAAACTGAGGAAATTTGCTGGAAGGTAGAAGGGGAAAAAGGGCAAAACTCAAACAAACAAACAAACAAAGGGAAAATAGAAGAGGAAAAGGAGGAAAAATAGAAGACTCAGTTCTAGAATATTCCAATACCCATGTGGTAGGAGTTCCATGAAGAGAGAGCAGAGAAAATTAAGGTAAGGAACTTGGTAATAAAATTACAGCCTACTGAATGCCCAACACACTGGATAAAAAGCCGAACCACACATCATCACAAAATTTCAGAGTTTGGGGAACAAAGAAGATCCTGTGAGCTTTCAGAGAGGAAAACAAACAAAAAGAAAGATTACATACAAAGCCCAGAAATTAGAATGGCTTTGAACGTCTCGACTTCAACACTGGATGCTTAAAGAACATTTCTAACCTGGAGTTAGGAGTAGGAGTAGAATGGAAACATTGTCAGACATTGAAGACCTGAAACATTCACTTCCTATGCATTCCTGATGATGCAATCAAGAGAAACGAGAATATAAACCAATAAAGGGGAAATCATGACATCTAGGAAACAGGAGGTCTAAGTCAAAAGAAAAGAGGTAAGAGGACTCGCCTGGATGATGAAGGTGATCCCAGGATGAAACAGTGCACCAAATATAGAGCGTGACCAGCCCAGAATGGAACAAGTAGGACTCCTTCAAGAAGATTGGGCTGCATTTGAATTGGGTTAACATCACTGAGTTGGAATTCTGCCCCCCAGAATTCCCTTCCTGAATGATTCTGGATTAGCCTTGGACAAAGTGACATTTTGCATGAGATTTGGAAAATGAAAAGGTGGGCAGCAGCCCTGTTCTTGCATGTTAGGAGGGTGGGTACAGGGGCCCAGGAACTGTCACTGCTCACACACGTGGTCACTCATCCGCTGGCTCACCTGGGGCAGCCAGGGCCACAGTAACCCCAGCTGTTGCTGGGTCGCCTCTTCGGCTTCTCTGAATCCTGGACAAATTGTAACTCCAGGGAAACAAAGAGATGTGCAAGAAGGGAAAAATAATCACACTATTCCTCGGTGGCTTAGTAGTAAATAGCATGCACATAATAATGTAATATAAATGCTGAATGCGAATCTCACCGGAGTTATAGGAAAGACGAGTCAAGGGATACAGGGATGGGCAGTATGTATGTGTGTGATAGGGCCCAGCTGGGGGCTATGGTGGTGAAACACAGCTAAATGTTCATCTTCTGTGGAGAAAGCTGTTAGTGTCTAAAACTGAGGACATAAAATGTATTTATACAAGTACGTTATTGGAAAATTTGGAGGTAAATTCCTAAAAAATCAGCTAAAAGAAAGTGATTGCCTCAAAGGATCAAAAGGCAGAGCACAAGGAATTGCTGCTTTCATAAGAAGATTTAAAGAACTCTGTAAACTATGTAAATGTACACATTTAAAAAAAAATGTTTTGAATGGAATTATCCATTCACAATGTCTGGGCTTAGAAGAATTGTTAAATACATTACAGTGTATCCAGGAGACAGAACATTCAGTAGCCACTGAAACTATGTTTTCAAGAAATATATATAATGGCAAGGGAAATGCTCAAAATACAGTTTAGATAAAGAGGGCAATATATAAAGTTGCAGGTACCGTGTGATCCCAATTATGAAATCAAACAATGCAGAGAAGAAAAAGGCTGAAATAATTAATATCAAGATGTTAACTACAGTGATCTTGGGTGGTGAGATTATAAACTCCCTAGGTTATGCCGTATCATCCAAATTATCTTCAACAAGCCCAGACTGCTCTTACAAATGAAAGGAAAAAATAAGTAAAATTATTTTTTAAGCTCTCATATAACAAAAATTCCCCACAGAAATTAATCAGGCTATCTTTTTACCTCGGTATATAAAATGTAAATAGTATCAAATACAAAAGAGAGGTCACTGTACATGGAATTTTTCTCTTATTCACTTCTTAGCAGTTGCCAACCACTCTATGGCACCACATTCTGACATGGGAGACAGGATGAGTACCAAGTCCCCAGGGCCCGGTCCCAGCTTCTAGTGACTGGCATGGGTTACTGGAAGGTGCCAAAGTACTGCTTCTGTTAAAATACTGCTTGGTTAAAATACTGAATTTGTTTTTGCAATTCAGTGTTTAGTGGGTGCAATTGGGAAGTTAATTATAGTCCAGTCTGCTTCATCTATGTTACTCCACCTCATTCATTCATTCATTCATTCCACAAACATGAATTGTGCATCTACCTTGAGCTTATGTACTTAGCTACGCTCCATGTGGGGACTCAGAGATGGATCCTGACCTCGAAAGCCTACTCTCCAGCAACAGAAATACACGTGCACATAAATGACTATGATACAGGATCAAATTTGGTAAGGGGCATGATAACGATACAAAGGGTTTCTGAAGGACTGCAGTGTGAGAAATATTAACTCTCAACTCTCTGTGATTTAGTGCGGTGCCACGTCTGTAAAATAATCTTGTGTGGCTCATTCCCTGCATGACTTATCATTTCACAAAAAGACATTCTTTAAAAGCACACTTTTAAACAAAGACCGAGTCACCCTGACGTGGTCAGCTCACCCTGCAATGTCACCTCTTGCCCGGAGGCTGTTCTGTCATTCAAGCTGTTGACAGGTTCAGATTTCTTCTCCTAGTTTCTTGATTATGTAAGTGTGCAAGAAGGCTGCTTTTTACCATTTCCATTCCATAAGAGAATTGATCTCTGTTTTCTAAGACAACACAGAAGAGATATCCATTTCTACCCATACCCATCCCAATAAAACGTCTGTTACTCAGGGAGTTTTCCCTTTCCATCCGCAAGCAGTAGGCAAAAGGTCCGCACTGATTTATCTCCTTCCCTGACTTGTCCTGATCCCCACACCTACGCTGTGCTGTGTGGGAGGAAGTGGGAGTCAGAGGGGAGCCCCCACACCCCTGCCCTCAGACCCCATAGACAGTAAGGTGCCTTTGCTGAGTAGAGGTGGCAACAAACACAGGGTGAGTTAGTCCGGGAGTAGTTGTGGTCTCACTCCGAGGAACTAAAAACTATAGGCACATGTTGTTTAGCCAGGAGAGGCTTCCTGAAAATCAGAGGGCTAAATTAATCATCCTTCTACAGTGTCAGTGTACTCCCTATGGAGCTGTGTTCCCAAAACAATACGCATGTATGTATCTTATCTGATACAACCACTAGGGGGTGGTTGACCAAAAAAGCCAATTAAAGTGGGGAATCCATTAGAAATATATAAACATAACCGTTTTAACTTAAAATACAAAAAGAGTACATTTATTTGTTAATCTTTTGAATTCGGACCAAGACCTCTTCCTGAGTCTCGGTGGTCCTTTCTACAAAAGCCACATATGTAATGCATCACAGTTTGGGTTTCTTCGAAGCACAGTTAGAGCTGAAAGACCCTGAAACAGAGTTCAGAGGCCTCTGTATTTTTATAATCCTCCACCCCTTTTCCCCAAAGTTGTCTCACAAACACCGTATTTGACAATCATTTTTCACTCAATTCAGGTTTTCCAAAGTAGTTAAATTAATTTTTATTTAAAAAAATGTATTTTCAAGGATTAAGAGTATACTTAGGGTGATGAGCACTGAGTAATATACGGAATTTTAAATCACTATATTGCACACCTGAAACTAACATACCACTGTGTGTTAACTATACTGGAATTTTAAAAATAATTAAAAATTTTTTTTCACTCATATTTCCATTTTACTCAACAGTTTATGTGACATCAATTAAATTGAAAAGTTTAAGTAATTGATGTTGCACCCATAGCTGCCCTAAAAAGGCTTAGGAACAAATCCAACTAATGCTTGGTAAGTTCACAAGCTCCCCGGAGGAGCATTCGTACCTGTACCTGACCTGCTGTACCTGACAGCATCCACAGCACAGGTGCCCGACCCTCGGCTAGTTTAATAGAAAAGTGGGACACGCTGTTCCAGCTAGTGGAGTGGAGGTCGGCCAAGGAGCTTCTGCTTTTGCTTATTACCAAAGGCCACCAAGCTTTGTCTTCTGGACTTTGTTCTGAGAGCAGACGGCTTGGACAAAAGCAAGACCCCGCACCCAACTGAGGTCATCCCTCCGGCTTCCAAGACACCCATGCGTCCATTTTAAACCAGCAAAATTACCTTGTGTTTGCTTGTCCTTTTAATATAAAAAAAAGAAAAAAGAAAACACTTCCGAGTGCCCCATGGCCTGCCACACTCCCAGCGTGTGCCCCTCTGCCTAAGTGCACCTTCTGCATGGGGGCCTTCAGTGGGACCACGTGACTGACGTCTGGCCAATGGCATTGGTGGAAGCCACCCGACACTTCTGGCCTGAGGGTGGGGTGGGACCCGCCCCCCCCCGCCCCCCGCCCGCCCCCCCCCGCCCCCCGCCCGGGACCTGCTCACGTGACCTCTACATGCTTTCTTCTGTGCTGAGCTAGGTGCGTGGGCAGCCCACTGCTCTGAAGCCCCTGAAGTGGGACACGTCGGAATGAGCCTGCACCCAGAATGACCAGGAGCAGCCGGGAGCCGATCTGTTGGATGGTGACGAGAAAGAGTCAGCTGCTGACGCTTGGGGTCAGTACAGCTGTCTTGGGTGGAAAACATGGGGATAATGGCTGCGAGAGAGCACAGAGTAAGCAGAGGCATGCAGCGGGTGACCCGGTGCTCAGGCAGACTATTGCCGTATGGAACCTGGGTTCTGGGAGGTACAACGAACGCTTGTATAAGAGCTGCTTTTGAACCCTGCGGGACATGAGTACATATAAAAAGGTAATTTATACCAAAGGTCAGTATGTGTTCAGGGCCAAAAAAAGGGGGAAGAAAGCATTTCAGGCTGTGACTGTCCAAGAAGTTTCAGAGAGGTGACGAAATAGAAAGTGCTTCTGCAGGCTGGGTGGGGAAAGATGGCATAACCGGCAGAAGGATGGGGCAATCAAAGGACAGTCGATGGCAATGCCCCTGAGAGTTTGGAGGGAGAGTTTGGGGAGTACTGGAAAACTGATTTCTAGAGGTCCAGGCTGTAGAAGGTCTGCACTGAAGCTAAGTAATTTGGACCTGATCTTCTGTGCAACACAGGAAGCACATCAGGGAAAACTTATGAGTAGGGGCTTGAAATGATCAGTTTAGGGCAATTAGTCCAATAATAGTATACAAACTGGATTACTGAGAAGACCTGGAGGAGAAAGAATTATTAATCCTCTAATGATTCAAGAAACCAATTATTCAAGGGCAAGGCCTGTATTAATTCTGCTCTTTGTCCCGGTGGGGGCTGGCACAGTGCATTCCAGGTTCTAGGTATCTAATAAATATTTCCTGAATTGGGTTGGGAACAAGAGGGTCTTGAGTGGATTTGAAGCCAGGAAAACAAGGGGCAAGAAATTATATTAAACCTGTCACATGGGGGTCTGTGGAAGACAGTGAGAATCCATGATTGCTTGTAAACTAGAGGCTCTCCCAGCACAAGGCTTGGCCATAGGAGGCCCTTGGTAAATAATTGTGAGAGGGAGGGAGGGAATAATGACCAAAGGAAATGAGATTACTTAAAGTGGGAGAGAATGGTGAGTTTTGTTTTAGATGTTCCAGATTTGAAGCTATAGTAGACTCTGCAGATTGAAATGACTAGTAGGGAGAAAAAAAACTCAAGGAAGAAGTAAGGAAAGAAATTGGAGATGAGAGGTTCTCTCTAAGGAGGTCAGAGCTGGAACCAGGTTGTGGATTAACCCAAGGGAGAGACTGGAGAGAGAGAAGAGACCCAGGAAGGACCCTTCATTCCACCGTCTCCTCACTCCCCACTGTGCCTTCCTCAGGAGTGGAAGCCACTCCTAGCCCCCAGAGCCATGCCCAGAGAGGATTGGACAATGACAGTTCTTCCTAAGCCTGAGCAAGCATGGAAACCATCTGGAACATTCATTAACACTTAGCTTACTGGGCCCACCTCAGAGTCTCTGCTTCTGGAGGTAGAGGAGAGCTTGACAATGCATTTCTAACACTCTTGATGATGCTCATGCTGTTTGGTCCAGGACCATTCTTTTGAGAACCTCTGAACTATGGGAAAGAAGCAACAGCCTCCTTGAGCCCAGATCCCACCCTCACCATTACCCTCAGGGCAGGTGATCATGGGCTATGGGGGGGTCCCAGTGTCATTCCCACAACTTGGGGAACTTGGTTTACAAAGAGATTCCCGCGGGCTGTTCCCATAAAAGACCAAGTCCCCTGGGCTTGCAGCCTTTTTACCAAAGTGATTTGATATTCCATTACAAAAATGTGCAGACATCAACATTCTTTTCAGAACAAACAAGATGGGGAAAACTTATCTCCTGTTGGTTTTCTCGTCAGCCATCTCACTTCCCTCATGACTGTCAGCCATCTTTGATGTCAACTAACCGAGACTAGAATGTCTGCCTCTCAAAGAACCCAGGAGACCTCGCAGCTCTGCGAGGCAGTAAGGAATGACCGACCATTCCAGTTCAGGCAGACCAAGAGCCAAGCAAACAGCTCTGCTGTTTTGTTTTGTTTTGTTTGCACCACTGTGACCATGCCCAGAGAGCTATCTTCCAATATCCCTTGCAAGCACAGTTTTATTCCCACATGTGGAATAGAGCTAGTTGAGTTTACTCTTACTCAAAATGAGAACATTAGAGGAGATGACCACACCACCTATCAGTTACCCATTCATACTTTTGGCAATTTATTGAAAAATTGCTACCATGTACCAGGTGCTATGCTAAGCGCAAGAAGACTTGTTCTTTGTCCTTAAGGAGCCAACAGCTGGTGAGGAAGACAGGCAAGTGAATACATTCCCCGGTATCTGGAAAGCCTTCGGTAAAGGGGCACCGTGGAGGGGCGCCTGGGTGTCTCAGTCGTTAAGCGTCTGCTTTCAGCTCAGGTCATGATCCCAGCGTCCTGGGATCGAGTCCTGTGTCGGGCTCCCTGCTCAGCGGGAAGCCTGCTTCTCCCTCTCCCACTCCCCCTGCTTGTGTTCCTGCTCTCACTATCTCTCTCTGTCAAGTAAATAAATAAAATCTTTAAAAAAAAGAATTTTTAAAAAAAGGGGGCATCGTGGAGTATGGGCTTCATGGGTGAAAATGGGTGAGGGCATTCAGAGCAGAGGTGACAGTGTTGGGGCACAGCATGACACAGATTTCTGCAAACTGTGAGTATGTTAGTATGACCAGAATGAAGGATTTTTATTTATTCCGCCAAAAAGCCCAAGTGTCGGGCCCTGTATTTAGAACATGATCAGTGCCTATTCTTGAGCTTTGGGGGTCTCTGCCCAGTGAAGGGTGACAAGGAGCAGGGTGGCTCTGAGTGAGGTTAGAGAGAACAGCTGGGTCAGGCTGTGGAGGGCTTCATGTACTAAGGCTTCATAACTAAAGCAGTGGCTTGGGATGTGATCCCATGGGCAGTCAGGAGCCACTGAAGTTCTTAAATGTGGAGGTCCAAGGGACAGGGGATGTGTCAGACAGAGAGAAGCATTGTGGGGCCCTTCACTTTAACCCTTAAGAGCCCAGCAGTCTGGGAACTGGAATCCCAGCTCTGGAGGCGTGAGGCGCCCAGCGACGGGCAGCTGGCTGAAGGCACCATTCCAGAAGAAATAAGTCATGGGCTAGGAGGCCAGGTTCTCATCTGGCAGCCTCCTGGGGGAGTTGGCCTCCTGGGAGCATCCCCTGGGGACAGGAACAGAAGAAGGTGGGGGCCGGGGGGGTGTATGACGGCAACAGTCACCGTCATGCTCTGGATGGAGAGAGCTACTTTCCTGGCTGTGTTAAAAGCTTCATCAGAAACTCATAAAAAGAGGCTCTCGTGGAAGTGATAGGGTAAAGAATTTAGAGCTGATTCAGTGTGTCTCCTTTCCGAAAGGGAGCCCAGGGGACATGCGGACTCCTTGAGACGGGGGCCACAAGCGGCATGTCGGTATAGCTGCTGCAGGGCCTGGCACGTCCACCTTCACAGGTTCTGTGGGAGGGTCCCCTGTCCCTCCCTTTCCAGCCCATCCCTCCTGCGCATCCCTTCACCAGCAGCCTGGTGGAAGAGAGGCCTGTCCAGGGCAGGCAGGAGGCTGGACCGGCCCCCGTGGCAGGCTGCTTCCAACCTCCTGAGAGGCAGGCCTGGGCTTGCCTCTTCTTGTGTCAAGCTTCCCTGCCCCTTCTCTGACCCCAGCTCTGTCTCAAACAAGCCGTCTCCCCAGCACTGAGCACTCAGGGGGCTGGAGCCCAAGGACTGGTTCTTTCTGCGATTGTCCCCTGGTGCCAGAGACTGTGCCATGGGGGCTCAGCGTTGCTGGGACTGGTTCCTGGGCTGGCTGTGAGCGCTTGCACTTGCACGCTCAGGGCACAACCAGCTCCTCTGTGCGTTCTCACACAGACCGCTCAAGAAGCAGTGGGACTGCTGAGCACGTTTGCTGGTAATGAGGAATTCATCAGAACCAGACAGAAAACCAGCAACGCTGAGTCTTCTCCTGACTACACATTCCTCCTCCTTTGGCAAAAGGACCCTGTCCTCAGAGACCCGCAGCGAGTAGAGCACAGCCCCTTCTGCTGGGCCTTGTGGCAGCACACTGAAGGCGTTCGGAGCTCCAACCCACAGTTCTGGTTGCCGGGGGTGGGTTATGCCCTGTCTCTGGGCCTCAGTTTTCTCACCTGTGAAATGGGGTGACAGGCATTGTTACGAGGATTACTTAGCCATGCAAAGCATTTAGTGCCTGGACGTGGGAAGCACTCAGTAATGCTGGACACATTGTTAGCACCACCACCATCATCATCATGGTACCGTCTCCTTGAAAGCTGACTCCTGTGCCCCTTCTCCGTGAAACCATCCCCAGTTTCCAAGTGGGAGAAACGGGTTCTGCTTGTGCTTTCGTAGGACTCGATTTGCATCTCTCCTTTGGCTCATGAGCTTTCTACATCAAATATGTGGTTTGCTTGCTTGCCTCCTCATCTCTCACACCATTTTCTGCCCTGACCCTGGCAATTCTTGATAGATCAGAATTTTTTGCAACAGGCATTCTGGCCCTGCCAATACTTTGCTAAACTTGTGCACGATAGCTTCATGCTCCTGGAAGTTGTTCCTGTTGCCGGTTTTGGTATAGGACACACATAGGTTTGTCTAAAACCTATAGGTTGCCTTTGGGTGCAGGCAATTACTTAACTAGGACACATGTAAGGCAGTGGCCCAGACAAATGAGCATAGGATGGGACTGAAATCCACGTGGGCAAGTTAGAAACATTGCTCTGATGAAACCTGCACCTCTTACAACCCCAAACTCAAGTAAGCCCTTGACCTCTGCCACTGATGGAAGGTCACACATCCAGA